TTACCCTCCAAGAGTGTAATCTAGAGACTAAGTCAAAGGCCACAAGTTAGCTGAGTTCAACTTAAGAATGCAGTTTGTCCCCATACCCACCTGCAAAACAATGAACAGCAGCAAAAAGCACCAATGCTGTTCATCATGCCTCCATAGTAGGACACCAGGGCTTCACGGCAACCTCTGGTCCAGATGTTTAGGTCCTCAGTGTGGTGGTCGTAGCTGTAGTGAGCAGAGTTGTTGGTCAGGTGATGCTGGATGCAGGGGCGAGGGGAGCCAGGGTTGCAGCAGCTGAAGGGAACGCTTTCCATCAAGTATTTGCCTTCCACGTTGCTCTGGATACGGCTAAGAAATTCCCCCAAAAAAGATTGAGAACTCTGTCATTAATTGGTTCATATTCTTGGATTTGGAATTTAAGATTTCAGGAGTGATGGGCTTAGAAACACATCTCAACAAAGTTGTAATCTTTACATTAACTTGACAAAGATGAGAATTCAATCTGATGATGATGAACAACACCACTTTTAAATTAGATTTGTGAACCTCCTTGGGATCAGTTATCACCTAAACGGTGATAGCCCCTTGGGAGGCCATCATTGGGGGCAGACTCCATGTTATTATTGGTGTGGATGGTGAGTAAGCTTTAAAGGACTTTGGAATAGGATCCTTCCTGATAGATTATCCAATCCATGGATCCATCTGCCCCCTTTACTCATTTCCTTTTTTATAAACCCACCAGCCAATTATCTACTTAACTACTTCAAAACATTCCCTTAAATTTGAATTCCTCTTGGCATTCAACATTACAGGTTTCAGTCTTTAAGAGGTCTCCGTTAGAACTTTTGTGTTATCTTTTATGTGTACTTTTTTGCAAACTACAGTGCCTTCTGGGTTGCGCTTCCTGAAGAGGAGAATAATATATACATCAGCTGATCTCTATCCACTTAGCTGCCTTAAACAAGATACAACTTCCCCAAATCCCACTGAACATCAGCCTTGATAACTTTATCCTAATACTTGGACATGTTTAAAGCATGTACCTTTTAAATTTGGCCACATATATAGTACTTGACATACATCTCGTTATCATAATAAAAGAAGTTGCACACAAATGATCCAGAATCTCTTCCACTTAGGTCCCTCACCACCTCTTATCTACGTTTTTAACTGAAAAAAAAAATATCAGTACTCACTCTTTAACTTCCTCATTGCTGAAGTCCAGGTAGCGATTGCTAATCCACTGGATCTCGAACCAATCCTTGTAGTTGTTGTTGCCGCAGCAACGGAACTCAATTTGGGTCATATCCAGTGTTCTCTTCATGAAGCATCGTCCCGGCGTGTCTGTGTCTTTGTAGTACTTCATTCCATTCTTCAGGCCTTCAGCCAGGGCGAAGTGCAGAGAGATCTGCATCAAGAAACACAGCAGAGCCGTGACAAAGAGGGCGATGCAGAAGACCACACATCCACACATGTACATCTTCAATAGAGGTTTCCACTTGGTGAACTTGACTGTGTCAAGGGAGTCATGGCACACTTTGCCCCCAAAAGCATTGACACCACAGGCCACAAGTCCCACCAGAATGAGCAGGTTGGGCACGAAATGACTCTCATTGTTATCCATAATCTCGCTTCTCTTGCGCAGCTCGATCTTGAAGAATATCCCCATGCTGAAGATGAGGATTCCAGCCATGACAGAGAGCCAGTACAGGAGCCACAGTCCTTGGGCAAGCTTGACCCGTTTGGCCAAGTCAAATTTCATAGGCATCAAAGCCATTTTGTTTTTGGTGTCTAATGAGTCACAAGGATATATTCACAGGGATTCTTCTTCAGTACGATTGCCTGTTATTGTAAGATTTGACGTGTTTTCTTATCCTTGTCGAAATTCTTGAAGACCTTGAACAGAAACGTTGTAGTCCAGAAGCTTAGTTTAGTAATCCGTCATCAAGGATGGCTGCAGAAAGGATTCCCCTTCTCATACCCATTCTGACCATCCACAATTTAAGAGAGTCCATAATGTTGACAACCAGAGGCCTCTTCCTCTGGAATTTCTCATAAATCCACCCAAATGGACCTGCTGGGGGGCAACGTGGCTTTTGCTAACGGCTCCCTTCCCTGCAAAAGGGGGTGGCCGGCTGAGGAGCTGTATGATTGTAGAATCCAGTTCCTCTACGTCATCCTAAAGCCCACTAATCAGCTCTTATCCCATTTGCAGATGAGCCGAGGACTAATCCTTTACCTTACTCTGTAATTGGTTAGTTACTTTAGCATCAGTTTCCTTTTTTACCTGCTGGTATTGCTGGGCAATGGCGTATGTAAGCAATAAGGTACGAGAGGCTGTTCTGTATTATGAATAAGTAAGCCCTTAATAAGACCCCTTCAGCCGTTACTTATTCACGAGACAGCACTTGCCTCGAGTACCTTATTGCTTTTATGAAACGGTTGCCACACAATACAAATATTAAAGTAATAAAACAAATGTATTAGTGCAACTTTCAATTAGTAAAATCACTAAAAGCCTTCCTTCCGCTAGAAAAAAATAGTCCCTGACCGTGAACAGCCAATGTTTAATATGCTTGAAAGCTCAAACACATAGGAACTGCAGTTGTTGCACAGCATTAAATAGAACCGTTGGCGTTGGGTGACTCGGTCATAGCCGTGTTTTATCATGAAGAAAGCACAACTAATTGACCAATCAGAATCAAGGATTTGAACTGACCGTTTTATAACTTTGGATAGTCTTCAGACCAAAGCATTATTGTCTGATAGCCCTTTTGTTTGTACCTTATATGGCTACTCAGACCACCGATTTGTTAGGATAAAATGCTCAAATGTACCCACAGGCGTAATTTCCTATTTGTTATGATTTTTAACTAAAATTAATTAAGTCACCTGTTGTTTCTGTTGTTTCATCGCCGACTGTGTAGCAAACACGTCGCGCGAAGTTCCTGGACGTGCGCCATTCGACACAGTCCTGGTCCTCCGTGGTTGCGGCACAGTCAGCGATGAGCAAAAAGACGCACGCCAGTATCAAGTTCTTTTTTGCAGCTTGAACGAACAAAAACACACAGGCTGTGCAAAATGTCAGTTTTGTCGAGTATTTTCACAAGAACAGTCAAGTCAAGTCGAGTCACATTTATTTATATAGCGCTTTTTCCAATACAGATTGTATCAAAGCAGCTTCACAGTGATAACATGAAAATAATACAACACAGATGATAATATTGTTGAATATTAAATGTCCCCTACTAAGCAAGCCAAGGCAAGGGTAGCATGGAACCAAAACTCCATCAGGTGATTGAATTGAGAAAAAAAAAACCTTGGGAGAACCCAGGCTCAGTCGGGGAACAGTTCTCCTCTGGCCAAAGAAGGAACAGTGATTACAAAACAATTTAGATCAAAACATTAAGAGAGTTTGTCCATTTTCATCTGTTTGTAAGTCAAAGTAATCACACTGGTTTGGAGACGAGATGTTGGGGATCAGTGTCGATGAGGGCGGCACTAAAGGATGAGTCGGGATGGGTCCAGGCACAGGTCCACCATAGAGGGTCCCTCGGGATAACCATAGAGGGTCCCTCAGCATATGGTGTAATTTAGACATATTTTTAAGATGGGAAAATGTGGTTCTACAGATACTAGACACATGACTTTCAAATGAGAAATTGGTATCAAAGAGCACACCCAGGATCCTAACCGACGACGAAGACTTAACAGAGCAGCCATCAAGTGTTAGGGAGTATTCTAGGCTTTTACGTGTGGAAGTTTTTTGTCCAATAATTAGAATCTCTGTTTTTTTCCAGAATTTAGTAATTTAGGAAATTACTAGTCATCCAATTTTTTATATCAGCAATGCATTCCGTTAATTTTGTGAGTTGGTAAGTTTCGTTAGATTTTGAAGAAATATACAGGTGGGTATCATCAGCATAACAGTGAAAGCTAATTCCATGTTTCCTAATGACATCTCCTAATGGTAGCCTGTACAGAGTGAATAGCAGCGGTCCTAGTACTGAGCCTTGTGGTACACCATACAAAACTTGTGATCAATAAGACATCTCTTCATTTAATGCTACAAACTAATAACGGTCAGATAAGTATGATTTAAACCATGCTAATGCAGTTCCACAAATGCCAACATAGTTTTCTAGTCTATTTAAAAGAATGTTGTGGTCAATTGTGTCAAATGCAGCACTAAGATCGAGTAACACTAATAGAGAGATACAAACATGATCGGATGATAAGAGCAGATCATTTGTGACTCTAATGAGAGCTGTCTCGGTACTATGATGTGGTCTAAATCCTGATTGAAAATCTTCACAGATATCATTACTTTCAAGAAAGGAACACAGTTGTGAGGATACTGCTTTTAAATAACTAATTCTGTAGGATCAAGTTGTGGTTTTTTTTACAAGTGGTTTTATCATAGCTCTCTTAAAGGTTTTTGGAACGTATCCTAGCGAGTCGCGACAAAGATGAATTAATGACTATGTGGGGAGGGAACTATGACGACAAAGAGTAAAACACCACCCCCGCAGAAAAAGATCAACTCCTACTATAACACGGCCGGTTTAGCCCCGCCCACCGATTCTCGCATTACACGCAATCACGCATAGCTAAATAACATAGGCCTACCTCATGATGACAAACCGGATCGATCTACCGAGCAATACGGGATATTGTGAAGTGCCTGGTTGTGAAAGACGACAGTCGCTGCATAAGCTTCCTCTGGATTCCAATAGGACTGCATGGATAAACTTTATTTTTAATGACGTTCCAGTTGATGAGGTAAAACGTTGTCTTCTGTTCGCATCATTTCACTGAGGATTGTCCTGTAAACAAGACTGGATTTGCAGACCGATTAAGAGTAAAGAACGGTGCTGTGCCGTCTATATTGTATCTGACAGGAATTGTGCAACACACAGACTTTGGGTCGAATCATTCCGGTTGCCATGTTACAACATTGGACGGGACTCATTATAATATGCAAAACTGTTATCCACTCACAGCAGTGGGCGTTTACTTCCAAGTCTTCAGTGCAAGACGCCCATAAAAATCCATCGTTTTTCAGGTAGGCTAAAAACTTGGACACAAAATTGCCTATTACTTATTCTTTTGAACGCAAAAACCAAGCGAATGTCATAAGTTGACCTCAGACAACAATTAAATACAATTTAAAAAGCCAGTTAATGACCCCTTTAAAGTTGTGTAGAGTGAAGCACCGGTAGTTCAAACATTTTCTTAATATTTCATTTATAAAAATAATTGAACAAGACTTTTTGGGGGCACATTTTTCTGTGCATGATACTTCTGCTAAGTGTAACTTAACAAATGTCCAGATGTCTTTAGCTCCGCAATTGGCTTCCATCTATGATATAATGATGAATGAAGGTAAACGTGACCGATGTGTTTATCCTATTGTCTAACTCGTCAAGAAGTTGGACAGGCCTCCTAAGATTATTATCACCCAGACATGTAATTGAACCATCCTTGTTCCCGGTCAATCCTCCCATAGCAACTCCAAAGTTATGGACAGCTTTACTTCTTCCATCAGAGTTGATTTTTACATGATGAAATGAGATAAAGCCACGTTTTTTAATCTCATTATCTAGTTGGTTAATTTCTGTTCCTCAACAAATCATGGGGAGATCCAGTCATACAACCCGTCAAGACAGATTTTGCTCCTAAGCCAAGCCAATGTACTTTGTCAAAGAGCAATTAGCTCATTTGACGGTTACCATGAAGAGCAAATCAACTTTCTGTGTTCACTACTAAACCCATTTGCAGCAATCACAAGTTCTTATAATTAGTAGTGAACTTCAAGTCCTTTGCCACTTTGGTTAAGCCTAATCAAATTTCTAAACATTGAAGATTAGGACTTTTGGTGGATTGACCCCAAGTCTTTTGTAGGGTCTCTTGCAGGAGCACTTGACCTGTCTTTGGGCTAAGAGCTAATTGGTTGAGTTGTAGAGTTTCCTATATGACAACCCAATCGGGCATCACCCCTGTAATTAGCCTGTGTTGGTCACATGTGACAAGATTACAGGGACTGATAGGATTTGAGTGACTTACTGTCAGATCCATTTAGAAGGACAAGTAGGCGCTGGATGAATTGCACGCAATGCTTCTACCCCAGAAAATGAGAAGACTGAGAAGTTTGTTTGGAGGCTCAAGTGTGCATGTGTGTTGGTGTGTGGGGAACTCTTGGTTGGCCGTTGTTATTGTGGGGCATTCTGAGCTCAACATAATACTGTTTCTTTTTTGTGATGGCCTCTTGTATGTTCTTTCAAATTTAATCTGTTTTGATTCCAGACAGAGTAGTATATAGTACTATAGTATGTGCTACTGCAGTACTACACACCCTTTAAAGTGAACTCTGTGTGCAATGACACCTTTTGGCAAGCTGTGAGAGTGGAGCACATCAACCACCCACTTTTTCAGTGGCTTTGGTTCTGGAAATATTTCTCCATTCATTGTGTTCATAGGGATTAAAGAAAAAAAAGTTCAAAAAAGACTTGAAAGCCTTGAACCAACCAGCTCCAAGATGGACAATGCAAAATTTGACTTGTTTTGACTATTTTAAAGAAATTTAATTTTGCGATTCTTTGTTGAAGTAGGCGGTCATGGCTGTGGTTTTATTTATTTATTTATTTATTTGCAATTTCCATAATAACATTGAATTGTTCTTGGTAGAGTTGTCTTTAAGTACTGACTTCGGTTACAAGCTTTCAAACGTTCCTGTGTGTATCTGTGTAAGCGCTCAATGAAGAGCGTCAAAGACATACCCGTCAACACTCCCGTTTTTCCTGGGTTTCTCCCATTTTTTTTTTTTAGCCCTATCTCTCGTCTCGGACCCCTCCCGGTTTGTTATTTCTCCCGGGAAACTCCCGTAATTTGCCTGGCCCAAACTCCTTTATGAATAATGTTTGTCTAATGATGACCAGTTGCCAGATTAGCATTAACCCTTGTGCATCCTTGTGGACATTTTTGTCCTTTTCAGTTTTGTTTTTTTGATCTCTTTGCCTGTGTTAAAGCTAACTGCAAAAAACTTGGCACAGGTGTGTATTTTTATTGGAATTTTACACCGTCATTTTCTTAAAAAAATAATTTTTGCATTAGGTACAAATTAAAAAATACTCCCTCTC